GTAAGCCCCGTGCCCGGGGGTGCGTCCACACTCGCGCTTGCAACATCCTTTATTTTAACTAAATCTGCTTTTTTGGGATTTTTTTTTTTTTGGAGGGGGTGGGGTGTCGGGTCTTCTTTGCAATGGCAACATTTTCTTCCTAAAACTGACAAGGAGCTCGCCGCTGGCTTTGCTGGTGAGAAAGGGGCCCTGGTTGGGTGCGTTCGGCATTCGTCTCGGATTCGCAAAAAAAAAAAAAAAAAAAAAAATCTGAAAAGGTTGCTTGTCGGTTCTGGGGCAATTTGCACAGATTCGCGGCCAGGCTGTGCGCTTGGTTAGAAAGCAGAAGGCAGATGGGGGGGGGACCCCAGGCCCCCGGGGACCCCGTGGGCTGCAGGCTCCGGGGTGCAAATTGCATTTATTTCCAGCGGACGCAGCCGGGAGCCCGATGGGGGGGTCTCCCAGGGGGGCTGCAGCTGCCGGGAGTGACCCCGTGGTCATTCGCGAGGTCTACGCAACCCCCGCCCGTTAGCACATCCTCAGACGGGGCCCTGGGTCACTTGAGCTCCCGGGAGACCCATTTCTTACCCTTGACCCTCCCTGGGTCGCCACCCCCCCATCCCCCCCGGCATGCATTTCGAAGGAGGAGCACGCAATTTTAGGATTAATCCACCCGGCGGGACGGCGTAGACGCGGGTGGGGGCCCCTCCGAGGCCGTTTCTTTCCATCGGAGGCCGTTTGAGGGTTCAGACGGGGGTGGAACGAGGATGCTCGACCCCCAAATGGAGGGCGGGCTGGGGCCCACTGAGGCAGGACGGGGAGCGGGGAGGAGAAGGAGCTCGTGCGCAAGCGCGTGGGCGGCCGGGGGGGCTCAAGGAAAGGCTGAGGGATGATGGGAAGCAAGGGGGTCCCCCAACACCCCGGCCAAGGGCGTCTTCCATGCTCAGTGGACTCCCCGAGGCGGTTTCGTCGCTGTGCGGGCGAGAATCTCGCTTTACGACGTGAGGTGGGGCGGGGGGCGCAGGAGCGAGGACCGGGGACCCCCGGCGGATGGAGACGGACCCCGCGGCCCGTGATTGACAGGAGCCGCTGGGAGGACCCCGCGCGCCTCCTAACGCCCGGTGGGTCCGCAAACGCGGACAGGTGTCATGATGCAGCCAGAGGCGCACCCCCAACGGAGACGGGGTTCGGGCTGCGTTAGGGCGGGAGGTGTGCTGGGGGGTGGTGACGACCCCCCGTGACCCTAAAAGTGCTCCTGGGGCGGGGGGAGGAGAAGGCTCCCGGGTCTGCGCCCTGGGGGGCTCCTGATGGTGCCAAGTGGACGCAGAAGTGGGTTGCAGGTGGGGGTCGCTCAAGGTGACCGCCTGGGTGGGAGGCGTTGGTGGGACCCCACATGCCCCCCGTATGCCTCCCGCCCGCATGTCCCTGATTTGGAGACTGTGGGGGGGACCCAGAAAGGGGACCAGGCCGACCTCGCATCCGAGACACCTCGGGACCCTTCTTTCCTTTGTCATCGTCAAAGCCACTTAAATAAAGCGGCTTGTTCCAAGGGGATGGGAAGTGCCCTGAGCGTTTTGCACGGTCTCATCGAACTTCTGGGATTTCCCGAGTGGGTCACCGCTTGGATCTGACCTTACCCGCCACCCCCCTCAAAAATACCCCCTAACCGAGCTCGCCGGGCAGCCTCTATAAAGTCAGGAGGAAGTTCTGGGTGTGGAAAGGCTGCTGTGCATCTGGGAGGCCCGCCGTCGGTCAATCTGTTCATCTCCAGATTTCCTGCCAGACTTGGTGTTTTTCTGAGAAAAAAAAAAAAAAAAAAGGAGAGTTCCAGAATCAGAAGCCGCTTGACAAAAGCCCCCGGGGGTTTTTTCACGCCTGTCTGGAGCCAGGCGATCGATGGGGAGCATGGATTCCGGGTTGTGTCCACACCCCACCCCCTCGGGGGTCCCCGCTTGACCCGGTGGGAGAGGAGAATCTGGATTGCATGTGGGGAGAGTCCACAGAAGCGAATGGGGGCAAGAAAGGGGGAGGTGACTTTTGGGGTGACTGTTTTCTTGGGGTTTAATTCACCCCTTTAATGTGTGCAATTCAGCGCTTTTTAGGATATTCACGGGTCTGGACAACCGTCACCACAGGCGAGTTTTAGACATTTCCAGCCCCCCAAAAGGAGACCCCAAACCCATCAGCATTCGGTCCCCGTTCTCTGTGCCTCTAGCCTCCAGCAACGACCAATCCACTTTCTGTCTGTGGACTGGCCTGTTCTGGACGTTTCCTGTTAATGGGACCATGTGCTGTGTGTCCTTTTGTGTCCGGGTCTCTCTCTGAGCACCGTGCGTTCAAGGTCCGTCCATGTTGTAGCTGTGTCAGGGCTTTGCTCCTTTTCATGGCTGCATAATATTCCACTCTATGGATGGACCGCTCATCAAGCCATGCTGAGGCGGCGTCCCACATACAAGAACTAGAAAGACCTACAAGCAGAATATACAACCATGCCCTGGGGCTTTGGGGAGAAAAGAAAAAAAGAGGAAGATTGGCCATGGATGTTACCACAGGGTCAATCTTCCTCACCAAAAAAAAGAGGAGGATTGGCAATAGACATTAGCACAGGGCCAATCTTCCTCACCAAAAAAAAAAAAAAAAACCCAGGAGGATTGGCAATAGATGTTAGCTCAGGGCCAATCTTCCTCACGAAAAAGAAGAGGAGGATTGGCAATAGATGTTAACTCAGGGCCAATCTTCCTCACCAAAAAGAAGAGGAGGATTGGAAACACATGTTAGCACAGGGCCAATCTTCCTCACCAAAAAAAGAGGAGGACTGGCAACAGATGTTAGCACAAGGCCAATCTTCCTCACCATAAAAAAGGAGGAGGATTGGCAATAGATGTTAGCTCAGGGCCAATCTTCCTCACCAAAAAAGCTAAAAAAAAAGAAAAAAAAGAAAAAAGAAATGCACTGTTGACGGAGAGTGGACATCAGTACCCAAGAGACCTCTCTCTCTCTGCACAGACAATTTTTGTCACCACGGCCGCCTCGGTTACAGGTTCTCCACCCAATTTTGCAGTCTATGCCCTCGCCTCTTAAAATTTCCAGACGAGTTCGTAACATCCAGGAAAATTATCAGGTGGTTTCGGAGCGACACACGTGGGAGAAACGCCGTCCTGGCGGCACCGACTTCGTTTTCCTCGACCGGCCGACGTCCAAAGGTGGGGACGGCGACACCGCAAGACCCTTTTCTAGAGCCGAGGGGGTCCAGCCCATCGCCCGCGCGTCCTCAAGACGAACAGCAACCACTCCCCAGGGGAGGACGTCCCAGCGCCATTTGGCACACGCAGTCCTTCCTGTTCCCCCCGTAATTGGACTGACGATTTGTGTCGCCCGGTTGGCTTTTTCCAGCAGAAAAATAAAGCCCTATCTTAAGAGCAGGAGGTGTTTCTACTCTTTTGTTTTGTTTTTTTTTTTTTTCTGAGGAAGATTAGCCCTGAGCTAACATCTGCTGTCGATCCTCCACTTTTTTTTTTTTTTTTGCTGAGGAAGACTGGTCCTGAGCTCACATCCATGCCCATCTTCCTCTACTTTCTGTGTAGGACACCTACCACAACATGTCTTGATAAGTGGTGCCATGTCCACACCCGGGATCCAAACCGGTGAACCCCGGGCCGCCGGTCTACTCTTGAAGCCAGACTCTCACCCCGGCCCCGAAAATGGAAGACACCCCCAAGTGCTTTGGGAACACTTTGGGTTTTCCCCGCCGTCCGTTTGAAGGAGGTCTCGTCCACACCGCAAGGGGCCGGACCCCCAACCCCACCCCGTCACCCGGGCTCAGTGGGAACGGCCGGGTGCATCCCCGACAGGTGCCAAGGACCAGCGGACACGAGCGGCTTTCTTCTTTCTCCTCCTCAAGGCTGAGCGACCGGCTTGAGTCGCCCCGTGGGGCCGACCTTGAACCGCAGAAAACACTTCTGCTTTCCTGCTGGAAGACCAGGGGGTGACATTTTCTTTGTGATCCACCTCCCTCCCCTTTTCGGAGCCGGGATGGCCTTTCCCCCCGAAGCCGCGTGGCCCCAAGTTCCCCTTCCAAAGGTCAGGGATTTCCAGAGGCCGGAACGTCCTGCTCCTTGTGTCCAGTCTCCATTTCTGGAGCCTGAGGATCCAGTTCGAGAAGATCAGTTGTCAGTCAGTGAACCCAGGAACGGGCGGGCGGAGAGCAGAAATGTTCCGTACACTGTGGGCAAACGGACGGATTTCCGTAACGACTGAAAGTCGGTTTATTATCCTCCATGTCCCGTCCATGCCTCAACGTTGGGATAGACCCGGATCCCCATTACGGGATTTTTCACAGAGACCTCAACGCCTGCTTCCTTTTCTTTCCCGTCCCAATGCATCCCGTCCTCTTGTGAACGTCCTTCTCTGTGCTCAGCATGGGGCCGGGCCCCAAGGCCGGGGGTGAGTGACTCGGGGAGTCAACTAGCTCGGAAAAAGCTGTTCTACGACGAGAATAGAACCCGGACCCGCAACCCACAACGACCCCCTGGATGCGGAACTGACAACTTCCCTAATTTCTGTTCCGGCTTCCAACTCGGGGCCGACCAGCGATGGTCGAAAAGCTCCCGTCTCGAAAGCCACGGGGCATCTGGGTTCCAGTTCCCCGAATCCAGCTTCCCTGGTGTCCAAAACCCCCATCAGGGCCCAGCGGAGCCCCTCGGACAAGCTCTCCTTGGGGCGACCCTGGTTCATGTCCGCAGTGTAGACAGTCAGCGGTCGGTGGGATCAGAAAAGGGAAGGAGGATGTTGAGAACCCTAAGATGGATTTTGGAAAAAGGGTTGAATTGGGTTGTTGAGGGGCCGTGATGGGGGGACCGGGTGAATTCTAGACCATGAGGTGGGGTGTGAGTCCATGGACGCCCAGTACGCCGAGTCCTCCAGGCCTGAGACCTGTCAGGGGGCGGCCTCAAGGGACGGGGCTGCACCCAGCACTGAACGTGGCGGGTGAGGCCCCGACCTGGGGGTGTCCAGCCCCTCCG